GGGTACCTTCTTAAAGAGAGGCTCCGAGTTGAGCGAGTTCCTCACTGCACACACCAGATTCCACATAAAACCAAACCACAGTGAAAACTCCACCTCTGCAGGCTCCTGTGCTCCAGAGACCCTTAGGATACTCAGTCACTTCCACTTAAAAAAGAAATTTCTACCAATTTTTAAAGGCATTGCAAGACAAATCAAACCAGTCAATCAATACAAATAAATAATAAATCACAAAACAAAACTGAACTATGCTCATCTCTGTTGTATCTTGGCTTTATTTTTAAGTCAATGTTTTCTTGGTGATGAAGCTCACACAATCCAGAGATGTTCAAATGATCTTTAATTCGATGCATACCACCCATTCTAATAGTTCAGTGTGTTGACATTGACTGCGGAATCTGCGACTTCTGCTGGGTCAAATGGACTAATCCACACATGGGGCCAAATCCCTGTGCTTTGTGGCGTCTCCAGTGAGCTCTCAGTGGGAAATGGCTTATACACAGAGAGTTAGCTCTTCCCAAGCACACAGTAGGCACTGCATCAATATACACACAAGGATGAATCGAGAGTTTTAAAGTCAGCTTATTATCAAGTCATTTCCTGATGACAGACCATATCCTATGAATACTGAGCCAAACAGACGATGCTGAAGAGGCAGAGTTAGTTAAAGACTGCCACCTTCACCAGCAAATCTCGGAAGAGCCCTCCCTTCTGCTTGTCTTCTTTATCAACACGTTGGGCAAGCTCCTTTCTTTCCCATGACTGATGGCCAATGCAGCTCATATTCTAGGCATGACCTTTTCTTCCGGTGAACAACCTACATGTATGGAAACCCTGACCAAATTCACACTATAATCCAAATGACTGATACAGTTGAATCAGTTTTCTCATTAGGATTAATTTTTTAATTTTGTAGATGCTTTAAAACAAAGAAATGAACCTTCATTTGGCCTCAGGATAGTCTTACTGTCATGTGAACATGGTTTCTTTGAACATGAGCAGCTGTTAGAATATTAGCTTTGGGAATGAGAAGGAGGGAAACAGGTTGACAGGCATCTAGTACTTTGATGTTGCACTGTACTCTGGCACTACCCACACACCAGGCTTTGTAAATAGCATTATGTATTGGTATCAAATTGGTTTCCAACAGTATTTCTTACCTGTAATCCGAGGAAAGAAGCCAAAGATATCAGCTTCATTCCAAGCTTTGGGTTGGCCTGAGGGTAAAGCTATTCTAGTTACAAGTGGGCCACAGGATCCACTCTATGCAGCAGAACAAATGGCCATGTATAATTTAGCCAGCTACTATACTTAAAAGATTAAGCTGGGCATGAAAATCTAAAACACTCTGATTCCTCTTGGTATATTTTAAAGTAGTTCAAATTATCTGTGGCACAGATGTAGACTAGTTAACACTTGTTAAACAGAACCACAGTTTGAGGAATTGCTTATAGCCAATTATAATATGCATGTCTGGTCTGGGACATACATTTTGTAGTAGATCCTCTGGCGGGATTTGCAAATGGAATTATTTAAATGTGCTGATCATTAGCAGTTTAAATAAATGACATTTATTTTGGCAGGAGATTAATTTTTAACGTGGCAGCTGCTTTCAGACAGATTGCTGTCAGGTTATTAGAGAGATTAACATTAAAGGAAGGAGGAGATTATTATGTTTTCAAGACCTTTAAGCTTGCATTTCCCCAAAGAGGCAAATAATTTCATCAATGATCTGAGATACTGGGTCTCAAATATAGTGCAGTGTTAGCATCTCCGTCTCCTGATTTCAATAATAATCAAGTGTGGTGAAGGGCATGATCTTTAAAAGGGGAATTCTTCAAATATATTCTTTATATTGAAGCTCAGAGGATACACATACAAGACCAGACTGCAATAAAAAGAGCTCTAGAGATTCCTTTCAGCAGAGGCCCTCTTGATGCTGATCTAATTTAGCTTTGCAAAATCTCATAGCAGGGTTTAAAGGCATCTTAGACAAATCAAATAATAACCAATCAATACACAATACATCACACAACAAAACCATGCTCTATTTTTCTCTTTTGTATGACTGGGCAACCTATTATAAACAGACCTGAACAAAGCCTTGGGAGACTCATGTTCAAGTCCAAATTCTAAGACTATCCCTGACTGGGTCTGCTCTTATGAAGACCTGGACTCAGTTTCTTCCTTTGTAAGAAAACAAGAGACTATCACCAGTCTTTGAAGGAAAAGTCCACGGACCTCTGAATTCAACCCATGTAGTATCAAGATTTTCCCACAAGGGGGCTCTCTACCTAGTGCATATCCTGAAAACTCAGTTCCTCCAGAGTGCATGGCCTCCAGTCTAGTCTTAAAGCTGGGATTTATGCAAAAGCAATGTCCCCCAACACTACAGATCTACATGGGCTTGTGACAGCAACTTATGCTAGATTATTGTCTAGGGTAATAGAAAAGGGAAGGGCTTCCTGGAGAAGTCTACTGAGCACTGCTTAAACTTACTAGTGCATTTCCAGTCTATAATACAAAGTAACAAGGGACATATCAAACTTCTATGAAACTCCAGGCCACATTAGAGAAAAGTGCTTACCCGCATTCCATTTTATTCTGTTACAGAAAAGAAACTTCAAATGATATACTATGAGCAGTGTAAAAACAAGGAGGTCTGAGTCCTTATAACCACAGAAGATGAGCCAAGACAAAGTCATATTTTGGTTTCGCTCAACATAGGAAGTTTGGGAGTGAGAAGGATTGGAAAAGGTTGGTCATGGTGAGCTTCCCTGTTGTAGTTGATAGAAGCAAGAAGCTCAGTAGGGTAGGTGAACTACAACAGTGTGCTGTCCATTTCAAAAAGCCAGGAGGAAGGATTCTCAAACTTTAGGTCGACCTTGGGTGTGATTTCTCAGGAGCTTTGATTTTTTTTTTTTTTAAGCAAATTTTTCTGCTTCCTCAAATATAACTCATTTTTTATTTGTTGATTTGTGTGTGTGTGTGTATATATTTCATATAGAACATCCCAAACAATCTTATTCATCTATATACCCACATCCCAAATAGCATAGCCTCTCCCCCCCTCCCCCCCACTGGAGCCCATATACTCTGTCATCCCTATTGCTGTCCATTGTGTTGTCGGGGCCCCCAGCCATTCCCCAGTGTTTGTCCATCCACTGAATCCAGTCAGCTTATCTAGAGTTCCTTTTTTTAAGGAAGATCAGCTCTTACTTATCTCCTTTTTTTTTTTTTTTTTTTTTTGCCAATATTCCTTTAGATAAGATTGGGGACTGCTGCTCTTTTTCCCCATCTATGCTGGGTTACTGTCTGGGAGTCTCTTGGACCACCCTGACCAACAACTCAAAGGAAGGTATCTCCTGTCTGGCATTGTTTCTTGTTATGTAGCCTTTAGCTATACACATGGGCTCTTAAAGAATTATATTGGTCCCTTTAATATTTGGTTATACTTTCCTTTTGGGTGTTTAAGACCATACAGTTGGCCCAGATAAACCAATTTATTTTTACTCTTAAGGTCATTTGAGGACCTGTTCCTCAGGGGTCACATGGGCTTGGGAGGAGCCCCCGGCTCCTTTCTTTTACCAGTTCCACCTATGTTAAGATAAGTTAAAGGTCCTGCTCGACCATGGCTGCCTTCGCTTGGAAGCATGGAGGAAATGATTCCTGTGTTGACCCTCCTCTTTGTAGACTGGACACTGGTTCAAGTCCATTTGGTAGGGTCTCCATGGCCTCCTTGATCAAGAGGACAGGTGACTCACCACAGTTACAGGGTATTTTGAGAGATGCTCATAGTCCCCTGGAACATAGTTGACCTAGGAGGGCAAGGAGCAAAACTGTTCTTTATGTCCCTCCGACCAAATTAGATAGGCCTCTAAGTATGGCTGTTAAACATCCAAGAAGGTAAGTCTCTACCAGTCTGATATTTTTTTGTTATTTTGTCTCCTCCCCACCCGCCCCCTGCCCCCTCGCCCCGGAGCTGAGGACCAAACCCAGGACCTTGCGCTTGCTAGGCAAACACGCTACCACTGAGCTAAATCCCCAACTCCTAGTCTGGTACTTTTAATTACCATGTGCTATGTAGATAAAGCTTGGGCAAAGAGGAAAGATTCTCAGATAAACCTTGACTAGACATATATTCCTTGAGCTAGTTGTATGTATAATTTGTCAGTAGGTTGTTTGATTAATATGGTTCCTTCTGGTTATTTTTAAAACTAGCTAGGCATTATTTATCTCTTACACTGTCTAACACTTCCACCATGGTTTCCCCATTTAAAGTGCCCCCAAGGAGCTTTGATTTTTGAGACAGGGTCTCTCATTGGCTTGGGACTCTTCACATAGACTAAGCTGACTGGCCAGTGAGCCCCAGGGATCCACCCATCATCACTACTTCCCTAGTGCTGCAATTACAAGTGTGCCTTTTTTTAAAGTGTGGGTTTTGGGGATTGAACTCAGGTCCTCATGCTTGGAAGGCAAACACTTTACTGACTGAGCTATCCTCTAGGGCCCTCTGAAACTTTTTATCTTAAAGCTATGACAAGTGCTTGAAGAGAAAAATATATTTGTCCTGATTTAAACATTTTGCATGTATGCATCTATTAAAACATTACATGATACTCCATTAATATGTACAATTGGTATGTTTTTATGTATCAGCAAAAAAAAAGGAATTACAAGAATTAGTAGGTAAAAAAAGAATATTTTGCAGAAACTAAAATATAACTGAAATGTAAACCTAATCTATTTCCTAAGAATAAGAAGCAAGTGTAAGTTTTGCATAGAAAATGATTTAAACATATTTTAATAATCATACATGATCAGGTGAATTCATTAAAACAATTCTCACTTGAATGTCTTACAATTTTAGATCCAAATAATATTTTTCACTACTCCTTTTTGTCAAGTAAATCACACATGCAAAAGTGTGTGAGAATTATTCCACTGCAAACCTGCCAGTGCAAGGTCTGGCTCAACTTCTAAGCACAAGGGAAGACTCATACCTTAAAATCATATGTGGCATCTGGGTTCTCGTCACAGGCAATGACTTCCGGTGCCATCCAGTACGGGGTCCCAATGAAAGTGTTCCTCCTGCCCACTGTTCGATCGAGCTGGGCACTGACTCCAAAGTCCACTAACAAAGAAAAGGTGGTTAAGGGGAAAGATTTATACGATCTGAAGAGAAACCAGAGGATAGAAAAGATGGTTAAATAAACTGGGTTCTAAGGCTGGGAATGAAGATAAAAAGAAGGTACACTCCTCAAGTGACACACTATATGAAACAGGCATTTGCTGCATAGTAAGCACATTAAGACTTCAGTTATAACAACCATTTATTCCACCTTCCTCAAATAAGATTCTATGCCCACTGAGCAGTCACAATCTACCCTCACTCCCCTGCCTGACAATCGCCCTCCTGCCTCTGTCTCTCTGACTCTGACTACTCAAAATCATACAGTATTCTTGTCTTACTTCGCCTCGTGTAATGTCTTCAAAGGTCATGCATGGTGGAGCCTATGTTTGAATTTAAAATTTCTTTCCTTTTTATTATTGAATAATTTTCCATTAAATTTCCATTGCCATGTCTTGTTTATCTTCTCCTCTGGTGGTGGACATCTGGGTTGCTTCTAACATTTCAGTACTGTGACGACATACTTTTAAATCATTAATACGTATAGATAAGGTATACCAATGAGGAAATCAAAAAGTGCTGTGTTTGGTTATATCAAGACTCTGTGGAAACCAAAAAAGTCTCCATAGTTCAACCAAAGTTAAGCTTGGTGGCCTAAAGAGAAATACAAAAAAGGTGATCAATATTTATCCCTGATATCAAACCTCTGCTACCCAAGGCTCAGGGATTTTTTTTTTTGTGGAAGGAATAGGAAGATTCTAAGAGTCAGGAGTAGTGGATGACCTCAAAGACACAGAATTTTCCAGACAACAGTTGGTCAATGACTCATATGAACTCAGCAATGGTGACAGCATGCACAAGACCCATGCAAGCTCAAGCCAGACAAAGTCCCAGCATAGAAATGGGTATATGGGTAAGAAGCCCCAACCTTAGCTGAGGGACTACTGGCAACTGACAGCTGCTGGGAGAAGGAGAGTGGGTTTTCTGTAAGAATGTGACACTGGATAGGTTAACAGGCCCTAGTGGATGAACCCACACTGAAGGGCATTTGAGGACACATATTTGACTCAATAGGCCTAAAAATACAAACGATTGAGTATGTGAAATTGGATGGGGGCATTAAGAGGAGTATAGATATTAGAGGGGGTCTAAATAGGATCAAAATATATTGTATGAAATTCACAAAAATTAAATTTGAAAAGGTAGAGAAAGAAAAGGTGATTGAGAGCTAAGGGCTGGAGTCAGACCAACAAAGTTTTCAGGCTGTTTCTGCTACCTCCTATCAGCGAGACTAGTGAGTAAGTGACCGCTGAGTTTGGGTTTACTCATCTACAAAACAAAGTGGATCCCATTTATCTAGAGTGTCTCTTATTTTTATAGGAGATAATTTGAATGTTTTATGAGAAGTAGCACTTAATAGAATCCTAACAAATACCTGTTAAATAGTTGTAAGTGAATCGTCTGAGGACAGAAATCCCACTTGGTATATATGTAACTACTGAGCCCATGTAATGTATGTTCTTATTTTTAAAAGGGACTATTCATGAGATGGAAGTACGGCTTCAAATGCTAGTAAAATGGGAAATGAAATATTTTAACAAAAGGGAGTATCACATATTCAATGCTCTTTGAAAATAAATAATCCTACGAACGGCAATCCTTTACTAGATAATAAAATGTATATCCGGAGGGTATTTGTTATGCCTTAATTCAAACAGGCAAATGTGTAAAAGGCATCCCCAGCCTTGCTGTGGAAGGGTCATTGTGATAGTTTTAATTGTCAACGTGGCATATCACCTGGGAAGAGAGTCTCAATGAGGGTTTGTCTAAATCGAGTTGGTCTGTGGGCGTGTCCGTGAAGGAAGGTCTCGATTATGCTAATTGACGTGGAAAGACGCAGCCAGCCAGCTGTTGAGCAGCATGGCTGTCTGGATTTGAGTCCTGGTCTATATCAGAGCGTTGAAAGCAAGCTTCGTAGAAGGCTTGCGTGCATTCATTCCTTCTCTCGCTGCTCTTGACTACGGCTATCATGTGACTAGATGCTGCAAGTCCTTGGTGCCCTGACTTCCCCAAAATGATGTACAGTAACCTGCAATTGTAAGCTAAGCTAGATCCTTTCTCCCCTCAACTGCTTTTTTTTTTGTTCCCTTTTTGGTCTTCTTGAGACAGGATCTCCCTGTAGCCCCAGCTGGCCTGGAACTTGCTGTGTAGACCAGACTGGTCTTGAACTCACAGAGATCTGCCTACCTCTGCCTCCCAAGTGCTGGGATTAAAGGCGTGTGACAGCACGCCTGGCCCCTCAATTGCTTTATATCAGGTTATTTTGTTACAGCAACAGACATGAAACTAGGACAGGCTCAAATGGATTAGCAAAGAAAGGGTTTCCCCACAGCTAACTCTGGTGGTGAGTGAGGTGATCAGTGCAATCCTGAAGTGGCATATAGAGCATTCATCATATATAGGGGCCATGGAAAGTAAAGAAAATCAATGTAAACTCAAACCTATGGGAATATAGCATCAACTGATTATTCAAATGATATACAAATGTGAATTTTTTTGGTGACAACAAACTGGGACCATGAGTGTTCTGTCAGAGAGTATCGATGTAAACAAACCGAATGTAAATGATACCTTGGTCCCTCACTTCTAAGCATCATTGGAAAACAAGTGCTTACGTGCACAGTTCCACTCATAGGTCCCTCTTCAGAATAGTTTTAGAAAATGGTTTTTAAATGGACAAAGAGAACATTTTCCTTTTCCCCTTTAGGAACTCCTTCCTTGTCTGCGGTGACAGAGCCACATTTATTTTTAAAGAAAGAACTGTTGAAATCATCCCTTGGGTTGCAGTGGCTCCAGGCTCACTGGATCCTGTACTTACCTAGTTTAACTTCCGCATTCTCAGTCAGCAAGACATTCTGCCCTTTAATATCACGATGAATCACTTTGTGCTGGTGCAGGTGACTCAGTCCCTGGAGGGAAGGGGAGGTAAAAAAGTTAACAGGAGTATGAACAAAGAGGTAAACAGACTTCTGAATGCTGATGGTTGCCCTCAAATTAAACTCACTTCAAGATACTTACAGAAGTACCCCATCTTTCATAGGCTCATGGTGCCACACTGAACTACAGGCAACTAACCAGTATCAACTGAAATACATCAGCCGTTTTGTAACGCCCAAAGCGACACTGAACAGAGCACACACACTAGACCTGACACCAGGCTCACCACACCACATACACCAAGATTCAGCTGAGTTCCTACCAGTGTGAATTTCAGGATGCAGTGCTGTGAAAAATGAGGTCTCCCTCTATGAGCTAGTTTGTAATAGAAAACTAACCTGATTTCAGCAAATTTAACTTATTTGGGAAGGGGGGATATTTGAATTTAAGCTATCTTCTGCCATTCAATTTTAATTAGGCACAATTCAATGTGTTTTGGAACAGTCAAGGGCTTTCCCACTGGTTTTACTCCGTGTGGCCCACATTACAAAAAGGAAAATGGGCTGGGACACAGTGCTTTGCCTTTAAGCATGAGGAATTGAATGTCATCCCCTCCCCAAACACCTTAAAATAAAAGATCTAGTATTGTGGTACACGTATGTAATCCTAGCCCTGAGGAGGTAAAGGCAGGCAGTTCCTTGGGGCTTGCTGGCCAGCTTCTTGGCAAGGCCCAGGCTAGTGATAAACTACAAATGTTCAAAAAGATCCTTATGCAACTATAAACTGTACCAGAGGACAGAGTGAGGCACTGGTTTGGTAAAATATTACCTTTCTTATCTAGTCAGTATGGCTCTAGGTGAGCAGTTAGTAGATTTCAATGCCTGCTTTTTATAGCATATGAAGATACCATCATTACTTAAAACAAGGACTGAAGATCCCCTTTCTTTTATCACCAAAGTGGTTGGAATTAGAGAGCACAGCACACACAAGTGTGAGTTTATATACAATGAGTCTGTACAATGCACAGAGGGTCATCTCTGAAAATTCTTGTGACAAGGGACTGCCAGGTGATCAAACAAACATTCCTTCCTATGAATAGCCCAATCTTATTGCTGGCATCATTTGGGAGAAAGTATTGGAAGGAAAAAACTCCTTATTTTCATGCATTGTAAAACAGAGCATACAGTGACCATCCCAGATACATTAAGAATCCAGAGATCCAATGTCTTGTGCCCTATTGGGTCGTCCAGCAGTACAAAAACGGGCACTGGGGGCAGAACCAGCCCTGGAGACCTAATAGATCCCGGGTGCCTACTGGGTGGTTAGGGATTAAAAGTTGTATGCTTTCTCTGGCTGAGCAGCAGGAATTCACACTGAGTTAATGGTAGGTGACTGCTTAGAGGTACGTGTCAGATGAGACTGAAATCAGCTACCATCACTTGCGTCCTCTTGAATTGCGTTTTGGTTTCTCCTTAAGAAATCTTTTCTGTCTGCCCCAAACTATAGATTGTATTATTCTATGTTTTCTCATAACAACTTTAGTTTTTCAAAATTTGGTATGGGGTTAGGGAGATGGCTCACCAGAGATGGGTGCTTGCTTCATAAGCCTGATGACCTGAGTTTGATCCCTAGAGCCCATATAAAAGGTGGAAGGAGAGAATGATCTTGACAAAACTGTCCTCTGACCTCCACATGTGTGTCATGGTATGTGCATACACACACATACATACATCATGTGCAGACATACAATTAGAATATAAGATAGAGAGTGACTGAAGAAGACATGAGATAATTGACCTCTGGTCTCCACATGTACTTATAGTCACACACAAGCACGTGTGTGTATGTGTACACATACACACACACACACACACACACACACGAAATAAGTGAAAAACAAAAATAAAAAATACAGGTGCAGTGTGCATGCCTATGATCTCAGCACTTTAGAAGGTGGAGGCTGGAGAACTGGAAGTTTAAGCCTGGGGCTGGAGAGATGGCTCAGCAGTTAAGAGCACTGGTTGCTGTTGCAGAGAAGCTGGATTTGGTTCCAAGCATACATATGGAGGCTAACAACCATCAATAACTCCTGTTACAGGGGCTCCGATGGCCCCTTCTCATCTCTGAAGGCACGGCATACATGTGGTGTGCTTGTATACATGCAGGCAAAACACACACACAAAATGTTATTTCAAAAATGAAGTTCAAGATCAGCTACATAGTAAATTAAATGTCAGCCTGAGCTACACGAGACCCTGACTCAAAGAAATAATAAAAATATATAAATAAATGAAAAAATAAATAACTTGAGTTTTCCTGTCTTTGCCATTTATATTTATTGGAATAAAATGTTTAACATGGTGTAAAGCAGGTATTGATTACATGTTTTCATACGGACAGTGATAAAAACTCTTCCTCTATTTACAGTAGCATCTTCTTTGTCAGGTATTGGTGTCCATATGACATGGGTCCATTCAGGAACTCTTGATTCTGTTCCTTTGGCCACTATCTAGTCTTATGATAGCACTGCTGTTTTAATTTCTAAGTAATTGAATAATAAATTCTGATAACTGGGAACATAAATCCTCTAAGTTTTGTTTGTATTATTTAAAATCTAATCCCATCTTGTATCTGCACCCACCTTTCTAACCTTCCACCAAGTTTCTGTTTATATATATAAATAGTATATATATATAGATA